TACTGAAACATACATACACTGAAACATATATATATATATGTATGTGTGTGTGTGTATATATATACACATTCCCTTGCAACAGATCCCTGTTTTAGCACAGCAGTGTTGCACAGTGTTGACAGTGTTAATGCAGCCAGTGAGTCTATAAAGTAATGTATACAAATGGTGTTCACACCTGTGATTCCTGCATAGCCTCCCTGCACTTCAAAAAATCATCAAGCTTATCCATGAAATAATCAAGCATTCCCAATCACTGGTGGAAGAAACTCATGCAACGCCAATACCATGGGCTATATAAATCCCAGCTAGAAAAGACAGGGAGAGCGAGCCAGCCATCCATACCTCACCTTCCCACCAATGAAAATACTCAACCTCAGTGAGCAAGAAAATGGGCCAATGGAAGATACTATATACTGAAATCTTCTGCTTGACATTTCTGTCCAGTACTTTCCTTCAGTAAGGGGCTGGTCTCTTCGTCTGTGTCTTCTGTGGCCTTGCATCAATTCCATGGTTCTATGACTCTGTCAAAGTACTTATGTGAGTAAAGGTGTTTTGGGGTTAAGGCTATTGTTTCTCCAGAGAGAAGGGACAACACAATGAAAGCATGCCTTGGCAGTGTTATGGATTGAACTTGGCCAGTTTTTCTGCTTAAGTTGTAAAACTCACTTGGAATATCATATTGTATATGGCTATATATTCTTCTACAGTTCAGCAAGGTAATTCTAGCAAGACCTCTCTCTTTCATCTCAACATGATGGAGTAGAAATTATAAAATCTGGTTTTGTATTTGTTTTCTGTCTTGTTTGCTGTTAATGAAGTTGTGAACTTTTAACTAGCAGTAATTGATGGTGCAGTTAACATTTGGTTAATCACCAAACACCAAGGATGCCAGTGTTAACATTATCACACCGTGACAGAGGAAAGAGGCAGCACACTAACCGAGTATCTGAAATTGATAAGCAAAAACTATTTTACATCTCTCTTTCTGCACACTTTACCATTTTCCTTTCTGATTGATTATTTTTAATGCTTGCCTTTTTTTTTTTTCTCAAGGTTTTCAAAATAAAAATGAGCAGAAGAAAAAGTTAAGTACTGCTTTCCACAGATTGACAAGAATGAGTGGGCTAACTATACTTGGGGAAATACATTAAATAATGAGGCCAGGTGGCAGATTAAAACAAAGGGGAGAAACACACTGTGTAAGGTCTTTAATATCTGTAAATTTAAATAAATTTAAATTTGCATGTGATGCAGTCAGCAGGTAATATGTGATGCAGTCACTGTCATATGGGAATTGTATCTGTTCTATTAATGCTTGGCCCATTCTGTGTTGTACCTCCACCATTTTCAATTGACGTATACAAGGAGAATTTTAGTATTCCTTAATTATAAAGAAAATATTTTATTTCCCTGGTGTTATTTGAAGTAGTAATGACATAGATGTCATTGTGACATTCAGTACATGCTCCTTTGTGTAGAAGAAAAAAAAATCCCTAGTGAAGGATGGCATCTGAGGTACGAGATGGCTGTTCGTTGTACAAACGTTTCACACCAGAGATCTGGCAAAGTGCAGTCTTGTATCGTATGCTAATACAGGTCTAAATATAAAATGTGCTGGCTTATACCTTTATTTGAAAAATATACTACAATCCTCTTAGAGGAACAATAATTCCTGCAAAGCTTTTCATGTTCATGTAGCTTATGGTTGTGATTGGCACCTTAGAAATCTGAGAAGTATAAGTAAATAAGTGAATAGACAAAACACAATTTGCAAACATTAATCCCCCAACAGCTGTGGGCAGTCCGTCTCAGAAGATTGGTTTCCTTACCAGTCCAGGAACCGTGGTGCTGGAGCAGTTGTTTCCTTTCCACAGAAAATGTGCTGTGTATCTGCAGCCTACCATCATCTCCATGGCAGGGATGCCACTTTCACATACTGGTGGACACTTCCTTCTTTGCGGATGGCAGCCCTAAGCACTCCAGTATTTTGGATTTGAGTAGAAATAGCTCCCAACTTCATCTTTTCATCTCCTGCTTGTTCTCTTTCTTGCCATGTACCGAGAAGGTGAAGGGAGAACACTATTGATGTAACACAGCACTTCCTTCAGAGTGCTGTTTCTGCTGCAGCATTTTGTTGAATTATTTGTCCTTCCAAAAAACAAATGTTAAACTGATTTCCCCATAAAGCACTATAGAAGAGTAGCAAGAAGCTGAGATCTTTATCTCTTCTGTGTTCTGCTTCTGTGTTCAGGCTGGAAACTGTAAGGGAATCGAATCTGTGAGTGTCCCAGCATGTATTACCTGGTGTAGGGAACCTGCTTTGGCAGGGGGGTTGGACTCGATGATCTCTGGAGGTCCCTTCCAACCCCTACAGTTCTGTGATTCTGTGATTCTGTGATATCCTCTGCCCTGATCTTCTGTCTCTCTGTGCTTAAAATGGCAGTTTCACTCTAAGAGACTATATTCCAGGTCCTGTGGGCAAAATAAGACAGTTTTGATCATCAGCCTGTTAATGTGAATAGATTGGTATGCAATAACCTACACTCCTGAAACTTCTGTATTCCTCTCTTATTTTGCAAGAAAAGAAGAACACCTTCAAGAAGTAACTTCTTCCATTTCTGCCTAAAAATTCCTTCTTTAAGAGATAGCAATCACAACACCGTAATGTGGGATCTTTTGTGGGATCAAAATCAATCTCTTATCAATAAACACTATTCATATCGTATTATTTAACTGTCATTACCTTGAGGCAATACAGGAGTGTGGTCTAATTGTATGTCAATCAGATTGCCATCAGTAGAGTTACCAGCTGTATGTGAAGTTACCCCATGTGGTGTCTTATGCACCAAAATTTCTCTCTCCATGCTTAACCCATGCAAGATCTGGCTGCAGTTTTGAGGTGTTTAAGACACAAGCCATGGGTAGGCCATCTTTTTTCTACTAAGTAGCATGTTTCCTGATTCTGTTATGCTCACATATGCTCTGGTGAGTTTCAAGCAAGGTCTTTGTGTCAGAGCAAGCCTAGACCAAGCTACATCTCTCATGCAGTCACAGACACATAGGCATGGAACATGTGAGTTAAGGTCCCAGCTTCAGGGATGTATGCAATTCTATACAGAGACTGGCAGATATCAGGAGATCCCAGTACAGAACACTAAGTAGCTTTACTGTTGAAATTTCTGTGTAGGTTCAGTGTTCCTCTGGGTTTTCAACATACGCAGATATCTACTCTAATTAATAGCTCATTAACTGTTCTGGTCTTGTGGAGCTTAAGGGAGGATTTCAGCCAGGAGATCTTACCAGAAATGTAGACATATCTCCAGCCGTTCAGACCCTTTAAATTCCAGAGGGCTTTATTCCTTCGGTCTGGTCCCCTTAGTTGACCATCAGGTAACAGAGCCTTTGAATACATTTAAGAGGCTAAGTGAAAAGCAGAGCATGGTTTCCAGCAGGCTGTAAGGTGTTCAGAGTCTAGGTGCTTCAACACACAGTAGAGTCTCTAACTAACTCCTGGGCTGCAGTCTGTTGCTTGTGTGTAAGACAGGAACAACCTCCTTGTTTGCATTGCAAGTTCTGCTGAAGAAGAGCTTTTCTGTGCTTTTTACTTTCATTATGCAGTGTTAAATGCAGAGGTTGTTCTGTGATTAATACAAACAAACAATTGGTTCATTACAATATCAGCATTTAAACTTTTCCTTATGTTAAAGACATTTGAAATAGACGTGGTGTCTCAAGCACTGCATAAAAACTTTATTCCCTGATGAGGTTAAATGGTAACTCGTAGTGCTATCCCATTAGAGTCTAGAACTTTATAGTTGCTCTATCTTTTATGTGAGCATGGCTGAAGAAAAGCTCCCCCCAGATCCCCGCAGCTTCCCCTCATGTGGATGCTCTACTCCTGCTACGTCAAGCAGAAAACAAATGTAATTTGTGCTGCTTTTGATCAGTCATTTCTGCAATGCTTTGCTGCTGGAAAGCAGAATAATACTGTCACAAATTTTAAATTAACAAAATATGCCTAGGAGGGATTGGTAGCTCTTGTTCATCTGATTAATGTCAGGCTTGTAAAGTCTGTTATCCAGCAAAAAGGACAGCAAATGCTCATCTGAGAGATGTTAAAAACATAGAAACTCCAATTTAGTGGATCTTTGTGTTAAAATATCTTAGCACAGCACCCAGGACCAAAGCACAAAGTCAAGGAGCATCAAGGGAACTTGAGTGAGTTTTCAACTGTATTCACATTTAATTAGATTTGAAATGACTGTCCCTCTGTAGTGCAGCAAACAACCAAGTTAGTAACTTCCTCTCAGCCCTCATTATTAACAGCTTTAGCATAGATCTGCATAGTCAGCAGCTAGGTGGATAGGTGATATGTATTGGGAAATACAAGCAGGATTTGAAAACATGAGAGAGTTTTGTACGGTTCAATTTTTGCTCTCATAGTGAAGGAGGCTACTTCCCTTTGTAAGATGTCCACGTTCTTGCAGGAGTTGTTTGATGAAGCTTTTGTCTACGTTATTGTATTATGATTTTATTTTGCTTCTCAACGGAAGAAACAAGGCGCACTGGGAGCAAGTACAATCTGTGCCACCTGATGTATTTTTATGGATTTATTTTCCCTTAAGTACATTTCTGTTCCTTCGAGATGTGCACTGAGAGTTTTCCATTCAATTATAAGCTTTTGTGGGCAGGATCTATACATGGATTCTGCTTTCAAGTTCCATTCCACAGCAATTCTGTAAAGGAATCTTTTTAAAAGTCATCATGATGAGAGAGGGAACTCAATTATCCATGGGGATCTGACATGTGTCCTGGTCTCCCAGACCTTCAGAAGTTCTGTTCTTTTCAGTGCTCTCATGTCTGTGTGCTCCCATCAGTCAGAAATGATGAGTGCAGTTGCAGATTTTGCTTAAAGTTTCTATTAGGTGAAAAGAGCGGAGTTGGTTTGCGTCTGTTTTCTTAAATACACTTTATCATTTTCACATCTGCTTCTCTTTCAGGTGTGAACAGAAAAGTGACCTATTCCCTTGCAGACTCTGCAGATGGTTACTTCTCAGTTGACCGGTCATCAGGAATCATTATTTTGGAGCATCCACTTGATAGAGAGCTTCAGTCTTCCTATAACATCAGTGTAAAGGCCTCAGATCAGAGTATTGTACTGACCTTGTCCTCATTTGCTACTGTTACCATTACAGTGCTAGATATTAATGACAATCCCCCTGTGTTTGAAAGGAGAGATTATCTTGTTACAGTACCTGAAGACACTTCACCTGGCACTGAAGTCCTCTCTGTTTTTGCTACAAGCCAGGACATTGGCACTAATGCTGAGATTACCTATCTCATCAGATCTGGGAACGAGAAGGGAAGGTTCAACATTAACTCAAAAACAGGTTTGTAAATTAGTTCTTACTTGTAATACTAAATGAAAGTTTCAGAAAAAATGTGGATGCTTTGGGGAAAACATTTGGACCACATAAGTTCCAAGAAGAGAGACTCAGAGCTTGTCAGTCTTGTTGCACAGAGTAAAACAAATGTTATATTGAAGTTTGGTCTAAACTATGGCACCATTCAGCTGCTTTGACTTGAGTGGATTCTCCATTGGTATGTTCACTGAAGTCATGTAGGTGTATGCAGATCCACTGCTGCACCATGGGCTTCTCTATGGCTGCACGTGGAGAGCTGCTCCACATAGTGCCCATGGGCTGCAGTGGGACAGCCTGCTCCATTGTGGGCCTCTACTGGGCTGCAGGGAACTTCTGCTTTGCTTGGCTTTAATCTACGAAGATAGTAAGCTATGAATCTTCTGTGATTCCTGCAGTGGATTCCCTTATCCTTCTAGCATTCAGGATGATGGTACAAACCTGCCACCAGAGCTTCAGAGCAGAACAGTCTTGGTTTTGAAAGCTGAAGTTAACACTTGTTTGAGTGCAGCTGTAATAACCAGTAACCCAGACGACGTGCTGCGTGATATGGTTTAGTGCTTGTGGTGGCAATGGTGATGAGGAGACAGTTGGACTAGATGATCTTATAGGTCGTTTCCAACCTTGTGATTCTATGATTCTATGATTCTAACCTGGAAAATCTCAGAATTATGCATTGTGTCATTTATACTACTGTGTGCAAAAATCTTTCTCCACTCCTTGTGAAGACCACTGCCTCACATGTAAAGGACCTAAAATAACATAATTGTATGTTGTCTTCAATCTTCACAATGTTGATTAGTGCTAACAAAATTTAAACATAAATATGTCTAGACAGCATTACTTAACTTTGCATTTGACAGTGAAGCCAGGGAGATAAATCAATAAAAACCCATAATGAAGCTTAATCACACAGGGAAGAAAAAAAAACCCAAAAACTATTTATTATTCATTAATGTGTGACAGCTCCATTATTATCGGTTTAGAGGCAGGAGCTGAGATCCAGACAGCCGGGTGCTGATGTAGCATGCCTGATCAGGGCTTGAGAAATAATGCTCATCACAGCATTTATCAGTGGGGACTCCCTGCTAGCCACTTGGAAGCTTCTCTTCAGGGCTCCTGCTTTCAGCAAGTTGTGCTGAAAGGTAGGATTCATTTGGAGAGAGCCCAGACAAGATTAAGAAGAATGATCTGAGGTCTACAAAATGAGGCTTAGGAGGAAAGACTGAAGGAATTGAGGCTATTTAAACTAGAAAAAAGAAGACATGCTGATAATATTCAAGCTTGTAAAGTACCTGTGAAGAGGGGGGAATAAACTTTTCTTTGTGTCTACTCATGAGAGAAGTTTTGAATTAGCTTAAATTGCATTTGGATTATTTCAGTTAAATGACAGGAAGAAATTCCTTGCTGTAGGAATTATTGAGTACATAAATACATTTCCTAAGGACAGGAAAGTAATGTGTCTAGAGGTTTTTTAAGGACGTTAGAAGTGAGTAGCTTCAAGAAAGATCGTGTTTAAGTGACCTGTGCTGGGCAACAGTTGGACTGTATGACCTCTAAGCCCCAATCATCCCTGCTCTTGATGAGTTCATACTAAAGAGGATTTGCCTTGCCAAGGTTAGGGATTTGCTTTTAAGCCTTTCCTGCCATGTCCAGCATCACCTCCTTCAAGACATCACTGGTAATCTGTGTGCAACGCACTCGCCCCTCCTTGATAAGGTTATAGGTACATGTGAGACAAGTAGAGAATGTGCATAAAAACTATCTCTGTCCTAGAAGAGATCTGAGAGAGAGTGATTCAAGTTACAAATAATCTTAACTTTTATTATGTGATGCGAGAACTGAAAACTTTTATACCTGGTTTACTCTGGAACTCCCTGCTTAGTCACACAGATGGTAGAAAACTAATTTCTCAAAGGTATTCATACCCCACTTGTTAGTATTTAATTCATGAGAAGTTAATTACGTAGGACTGAATTTCTGTTGATTTGTCAGTGTCGATTTCCAGAGTTGGCATCTGGTTCTCCCACAGGCTCTGTGCATGAGCCCAGGCACATGAACGGATGTGGCCTTCGCTTCTCTGTCTGTAGTACTGGTATTTCCACAGTTATTTCTGTCAGAAACCATTAATAGCTTCGTGTCTTTCTGTAGCGGCAATCCAAGTGCAATTGTCGTCTCTCTTTAATTAAATGGCAATAGTAGAAAACTGACCAAATATTTTTATTAGACTATGCAGTATTATGTTTAGAACAACATATTTTGTGCTCAGGTGATAAATAGCATGTTGTACTATTTTCTGCAGTGAAATCCCTTAATCTGCAGCAGCATTTCCTTTTCACTCAGTGCTGACATTACTTCCCTTCCTTCAAAGGAGCCATTTCCATTTCTGAATCTTTGGATTATGAATCGTGTAAGGATTTCTACTTAGTCGTGGAAGCAAAAGATGGAGGTACTCCAGCCCTGAGCGCTGTTACGACTGTGAACGTCAACGTGACGGATGTCAATGACAACGCACCAAAATTCAGCCAGGTGGTCTACAGTGCAGTCATCAGTGAAGATGCTGCAATTGGTGATTCCGTTATAATGGTGAGTGAGGCCATGTGCTGTGATTAGGCAGGGTGAGGACCTCTGTTGCATTTAATAAGATACTGCTGCACTTATTAATAATGATAAATTATGCATCTTGAATCAACCATACTGTTCTCTAGCCAATACTCTGTGTCTGCTACGGCTTTCCAGACAGCTGCCAGTTTTCCCCAGGAAATAAAGAAGTACTAATACCAAAATAGTTTTTAATTCCTACAATATGCTGTCAAAGAGCAGTGCTGTGTTTAAGACATTGTATCTCAGGAGTCAGCTTGAAATAAGCAGGTTTTTCTGGAAAGGCAAAATTCAACTTTTCAGGGAAATGCATGATATTTGTATTATATATAATAAGATTAGAATATTTTTATGTGTTTTAAGGCTAGAATTTTGAAAAGATCCAAGGAGAGCCTCCTATGAAGAGCAGCCAAGTGATGCGCAGCTCAAATGTGACTAGCCTGATAGAATATGAAGGCTTACTCTGCGGGGTGTTGAGTGATTAATGGAGCAAACTGATGGCTTAACATTTGTTTTGCTAATTTTCACTTTTCTCTCAAAACAGTTGATAGCAGAAGATCTGGACAGTCCTTCCAATGGCCAAATTCATTTTTCCATAGTGAGTGGTGATCAAGACAATGAATTTTCAGTCGATCCTGGTTCAGGACTTGTGAAGGTTAAAAAGAAATTGGATAGAGAAAGGGTAAGACGTGAGATTTCTTGACTTACAGTGGCTTACAGATGTGTGTTAATTTCAACTCTACTGCTAGCCAGTTGTGAAGTAGCTGCTTTTCACTCTGCAGCAATCAGCCTAAGATATTCCAACAGCTCTTTCTAATATTCTTCCCCCTTTTCCCAGCTCAGACTTTTTCTCAGTCATATTTCCAGGCCAGCTACCCTGGTAGCATTCTCACTCTGCACCAACACAACTACTGAGGCCAGACCGGGGAAAGAAGCAACCCTGGATTTTTCCTGTGGCAGCTGTTATTGCATTAATGAGCTACCTCTCTTCTGTGCCTCCAAGCACAAGCTTGCAGCATTGTATGCAACAGAGGGACCACGGCAAACTGCAAATTGTGGCACCAAGTACAGAGCTGAGACTTCAGCCATTAATTAGCACTCTGCAAAACATGTCACAAGGGAACTGATGTTATGGAGTAGCCAGGCTGTACCAAAAGAGAAAGAGTGCTTCATTAATCTGATTCTGCTGCTTTGTTTGCTCCCTAGATTCGGGTGATTTATCACCATTTTGCTATAGCTAGCAATTAGCAGCTTTTGGAGAAAAAGAAACAAACAAATACAGTTGCCTGTGCTACAAGCAGGGCAGGAATGTGCTGCATGACTTCAGAAGTCCTGCAACACATGCAAGACTCAAGGATACTTCACTCATGCAATGCATCTGCAAAACTGGGAAAGCTGATTGCTGTCCCCAGAAAATGGACTCAGCTGGAAAAGCTTCCTGCTGGAAGCAGAGCTACTGCTTAAAACAGGCAAATAATCTTTCTATGTTATCATACAGGCAGGATTAAATTGCTAGTGATTGGTGACAGAAGGACCTTCCTTGTCCCGCAGAACAAGGAAGTAATAGGCTATACATGCGACAAATTTGCTGTATTTCTTACATGGTTTATTGGTTCTTACATACTTTATTAATATTTTATTTAGTGACTCCATTTGATTTAGCTGAGATATATATGTCTGCTTTCAGACACATGCTTTTACCCTCACTGTCATTGTACATTTCAGGCCAGCTCCTAGATCTGCATTCTCCTAAGTTTTCTTCAGATAAAGTAAGCTGTAGTGTTGTCTTTTATTTTGCTTCCTTTGCACATTTCCTAGACACAAATGTTCTCTTCAGCGGAAATGATACATGATGCCTCATCTGATGTAGATCCCTAATGGCAGTGCTGATTCCCAGGTTTTAGTGGTATCAGGAAGCTCATTTCCAGAGCTCTAATCATGTGGAAACCATGATTGCTGCCATTTACCTTTCTGGGATCTGTGGAAATGAAAACAAACTCACACAAAATTTCAGAAAGATCCCATGAAACCTCTGATTTTTAGCAGTAAAAATTAAACATTGAAAGTGAAAAAAAAAAAAAGGATCAATGCTCAGCCTCAGTTTCTTGATCCTCCGTGGTTAAGCATTCTTCCTCCTGACACTGTCAGTACATCCCCATCAAATCACACACTTCTTTGACCCTGTAATCCACCTAAGAATCTTTCCTTTTCTTTAACTTGGTCCCATAGCTCAGAAGAGCCACCTTGTTTCATACACTTAGCCTGCCTTCCTCTCTCCTACCCCAGCAGCTTTTACTTCTGTGTCCCTTTGGATTTCCTCCCGCCCTAAAAAGCTCTGTTAGTTTTTCTTCATTTCACTCTGTGGGGCCATGTTTTACCCCCTCCTGGTGCTTTATCTGACATGTGGTTCATCCTTTGTTCCCCCTGCGCTGAAAGCTTCATGGGCAGACATATCAGCAGCTCTCCCTGGGGATCCAAGAGCTCTATACAGTAAAAGGCAGTTGTAAGACATAAGGAGGCCAACATAAGGATGCACTTTGTGAAATCACACTGTCATCCATAAGCTGCACATAGACAGATCTTTTCCAAATTGTCACACACGCTCACACTTTGTGCACGTGCCCATATGTGCATAGAGGGTCTGTGGGTGCCACAGCCGGTGGGATGCACTGAGCTACCCACACCATGCTGAGCTGTCTGTGGCAGTTGCAAACAAGACTCAAAAAATCCCTTATCTTCTACAGTACTGTAGCCTTTTGCTACAAGGAATATGTTGTTCATAGTGATCTCAAATGTTTTCCAGTATGCTTAATCCAACTGCCCATTAACTTTTTTGGAGGGGCTCCTTCACTATCTGAAACAGTGTGTGTCAAATTGAGGCTTCTCCTCCTAAGTACTTAATATCTTATCCTGGAATTAGTTTGCATACCCCAGTTGACCTAGGCTGAGCTTGGATATTATTCATCATTCGACTTTTGTCTATCCCTTTGTTTTCAGCTGATACAGTTATTTTAATATAGTGAAGCTGTTAGGTTTATTGATAGCCTTATAAACCAGAGTTTGGGGCAGTCTGGCAGTAAACAGGATAATGTTATACAAAGGGCAGGAAAGGTAATGAGGCCAGACAGCTTTCCTTAGAATATGGTTGGTGGTGTATTGGATGTAAAGAACACAAGTTAAAATTTAGGTCCGCTTTCATGATGATTTAGTATTTTCACCTTTTTGCAGATATCTGGTTATTCATTGGTTATTCAGGCAAGAGACAGTGGAACCCCTCCTCTGTCTTCATCTGTGACGGTCAACGTGGACATTTCTGATGTGAACGATAACAGCCCTGTGTTTACTCCAGCTAATTATACAGCTGTAATTCAAGTAAGTTTATCTTGCACATCAAAAACTTCTCTGACTTTTAAAATACAAAAGCATTTGGTTTCAGTTAAGCAGCTTTTGATGATTTATCTGCCAAAGATGTATCAAATGATCTTATTCAAAAGAAAGTATAAACACTTCTTTTCTGGCCATTTGCTCAGATTCTGTTTACTGAGACTCCTTAACTTCAGCATTCATCACATGTTTTACTCTATATCCATGTTGCACCAGGAAATGTTCTCTAGCCTCAAAAATTCTGAGCTGGGATGAGCTTGCACTTGTCCATGCCTTGCTTGGGATGCAAGTCCTAGTGGTTAGGCAGTCCTGGCCAGACAGGCTCCACTGGGTGCTTCTGTCTCTAGCAGTAGTCCTTGGTGTACAAGTGATGCCAAAGCAATGCCACAGTGAAATGTCATCTTGGCCAAAAAGCTTTTACTTGTATATTCTTGATAGCAAAACGTGGTATTTTATCATTGTGATAAGATGTATCATTTTAATCCTTTTCTTTATACGCTGTGTATACGTGTAAAGGAAAATAAACCAGTGGGCACAAGCATTTTGCAGCTGGTAGTGACAGACAAAGACTCTTTTCACAATGGCCCTCCTTTTACCTTCACCATCCTCACTGGCAATGAAGAGGAGGAGTTTACACTGGACCCTAACGGTGTCTTGAGATCTGCAGTCATCTTCAGACACATGGTTGCAACCGAATATGTGCTCTGCGTGCAGGTATGCCTTCATCTTTTGCATCTGCACAGAAAGAAAAAACTCATAGTGTCAGGTCATGTGTATGTTGCTGTCTGGGTTGGTTTTAATTGACTTTAGTCTGTGAGCAAATACCATGCATTCCATTTTACATGTGCACAATATTGTATATTTCCTTTGATGTCCTTAAACCCAATTTCATGTAAATATAAATAGGTAGCCAGCCACCTTTCCAATCTTCTCTGCATGAAATGGATTTTCTGAGCAGCAGCAGTTATGATTTAAGATTTTCATCTTTTTTTTCTGTAGCTAAGAGAAGAAAATAAGCAAAAATGCATTATGTACATATAAATATACCACGGAACGAGTGACAGCAAAATATTGTTCTAGGAAGGAAAATCACTTCTCCTTTTAAGTCATAAATTTAATCAAAAATTTTTGGAACCCGACCAAAAATTCATGAAATCACATTTCCAAGGTCAGCTTAGCTCTTAGGGAGTGTAAAAGGAAGACATGAAATAGAAGTCCAGCTCAAACTTAGCTCCAGAGTCATTGTTGAGGAACTTTTTAACCAGAGTAGCTATAAATCCAGCAATAATTTGCCCATTTCTCAGGCCTGCATAGGAAAACATAGTAGAGTTCAGTAAGTATGCAGGTCCATGCAATTCCATTGAAATGGAACATGGTCCTACAATCTAAGTCTGAAAATACAACCTTTCTCAACATGCTGTGCTGCGGTTAATCTAATTAGAGCCTAACTGCTCTTTTACACCTACTTTTAATGGTGTTTGTAGCAATAACAATCTCACCGAGTTACAATTCAAAAATACAAGTTCTAATGTCAATCAGCAGTTCAAATCAAAGGGACAGCTTACAAGTTTGCCATTTAATATTCTTGCAATCTTATTTTTTGAGCCTCATAGGAAAAGAAAAATAAAATCATTTTTCATTCCTGCTGTGTTCTCATCCAAAAATATCTGCTTTCAGGACTATTTACTAGCCAAACTTCCAATATTACCAAAATTGGAATTAAGTTCAAGCAGCATCCTCAGCTACATACATCCAAGTATGTCATATTAATGAAGCGTTAACCAGTCTGCAATCACAGAGATGCACCAAAACATTCAGAAAACCACGCGGTTGGATTGGCCTGATTCCTCCCAGTATTATTTTTTTAGGGATTCCTTCAGTGAAAACATATTTTGCAGTTTTCTGTTGCGTATAAAGCATGGAATTTTTTTCTTTCCATTTATGTGTACCGCAGTGCTGCTTCCCTCTTTCCACCATCAGATTCCTCCTCTGTGTTGTGCTTATTAAAAAAGTAGTGTTAAAGTTGAAAGTGGAATGTGGAATAATCTCTGCATGTATGTGTATCTGTGCACATGCACATAAAATGTTTTCTAAAATTCTGTACAAAGCCCTGGTAGGAGCCATGATTTTCAGTGCCTCAGAGTTACTAATCCTTTCCTAGTAATGTCCATATTGGTACTGCCATCCTGCCTGTTGTTTTTCTTCAGTGAGTAAATTTTCCTCCCTGTATCCAAATGCAAACATCTTTCAACATGTGCTACATCTGTGATTTTTTCATCATATGTTCTTCTCTGAAGCAAGTGAATGCATGCACTAGTATATCTTCATACTGACTTCAATGAAGCATTTTCCTTACTACAAGAAAGAGCACTGATTCAAGTTTGCACACTTTTCTGTCAAGATAGCCTTGGATTTTTTGTCATACTTGCTCTTTATAAAAAAGTGCAGATGCTATCATACGTGCTCTGGGTCATGCAGTCATCTGTCCAAGTGTAGTGCTTCTCTCATATTTTATTGTTAGTAACAGCACAAGCACCCTGTTTCACTTTTGGAGGGTGATAAATTTTATTTTATTTTCAAGCATGATTCTTGGACGCTTCAGAGAAAGTCACACAGAGTGCTTGAGGAAAACTCTCAACTCCCTTGCATCCACATAGGCTTAGCAAGGTGTGAGGCACTTCAGAGCAACACAGAAACTGCTGCTGGTATTGCACTGGGATGCAGCCTATTTTCCAGGGTAGAAGAGAGCCCAAACTCACTTGGTGTAAAATATACCACATTCAGATGGCTTTGCTGTGAAGGGGACAAGTGATAGCTGTGGGATTCTGGGAACTTTTCACATTGAGTAATGAGACACAGTGCTGACACATTTCTGTCTGCAATTCACTTAGATAAGATATCTGTGTTTCCCTAAAGAGTTTTTAAGTTTCACTGCTAAAAAAAGATGGCACATTTCTTTACATATGTATTTTGCAAATGCATTTGGGAAGTTCTTTTGAGAGGTCTTCAGAATTACTGTTGCTGTGAAAATCATATAGCAGGAAGTCTAGAATGCATGTAGCAAAAAGTTCTACTTGTCAGCTGCATTATACATATATATTACATTTTGTTGTTTGGTTGTTGTTTTAATTATATTAGGCCAAAGACTCTGGGAAGCCTCAGCAGGTTTCCCACACCTACGTTCAGGTGAGGGTTATCGAAGAAAGCATCCACAAGCCAACTGCCATTCCACTGGAGATTTTCATTGTCACCATGGAAGATGATTTTCCAGGTGGAGTCATTGGAAAAATTCACGCCACGGATCAGGATGTGTATGATGTCCTCACTTACACACTAAAATCAGAGCAGAAAAGTTTGTTCAAGGTTAATAATCACGACGGGAAGATCATTGCCCTAGGAGGGCTCGATAACGGCAAGTACATCCTCAATGTGTCTGTCAGTGATGGCCGCTTCCAGGTCCCCATCGATGTTGTGGTCCACGTTGAGCAATTACTTCAGGAAATGCTGCAGAACACCGTCACCATCCGCTTCGAGAACGTTTCCCCAGAAGACTTTGTGGGCCTTCACATGCACGGCTTCAGGCGCACCTTGCGGAACGCGGTGCTGTCTCAGAAACAAGACAGCCTGCACATCATCAGCATTCAGCCAGTGGCAGGCAGCAATCAGCTCGACATGCTATTTGCAGTTCAGATGCACAGCGGCGGTTTCTATAAGCCTGCCTTTTTGATTCAGAAGCTTACCAATGCCAGGAGACACTTGGAAAATGTGATTCGTATTTCTGCTATCTTGGAGAAGAATTGCTCTGGACTGGATTGTCAGGAACAACACTGTGAACAAAGTCTATCTATTGATTCCCATTCCCTGATGACCTACAGCACGGCAAGAATTAGTTTTGTGTGCCCCCGCTTTTACCGGAATGTGCGCTGCATGTGCAATGGTGAGTACTGCTCCCCCCGTCCTCACACATTATGCGATAGGATCGGTTTTATGCTGCTGATGCAGATTAGAAGGGGCATTTCAATTCAGCCCGTTAAAGCACGACTGGCTGATGTATTTCTCAGGCTCAGGAAGAATTGTTCGTGTTTACTGATGTAAATGGAAGTTGGTGAACTTTGGCCTTGTGTGACAAAGACTGCTTTCCTGGAAGATCCGAGCCATCAGCAAACTTCCAAGGGAGGGCAAGGAAGGGGAGGAGAAAGGAGAGGAGTGGGAGTTTAGTGGTTTCCCACTCAGTTCACCACCATTCCATCACAGAATCAAATCACAAAATGGCTTGGGTTGGAAGGGATTTCAAGGATCAAGAATCTCCAGCCCCCCTGCCATAGGCAGGGCCACCAACCTCCACATTTAATACTAGACCAGGCTGCCCAGGGGGCCATCCAATCTGGCCTTGAACAGCTCCAGGAACAGGGCACCCACAACCTCTCTGGAAGGCCTGTTCCAGCACATCACCACTCTCTCTGTAAAGAACTTAACCAACACTGGAATAAACCAGTCATGTGGTTGTGGCAGAGCCACCTGCTCTGCAGTGGTGCACTGGAATCCCCAAGGAAAGGACCCATGACCTAACCCACACAGGTGCAAGGCACAGTCCATATTTACAGAGAGGAGCGGAAAAACAATGAAATATTTTATTTTGTAACTGATACCAAGCACTATTCCTGATCCTTATTGCTGCATGGGGAGTCAGGACGGGGTTTTGTCCTGATTTCTGCCTCACATTTCACATCCTAATGGCTGCCTTACATTTTATCAGCGATTTCATGGGGTATATATGACAAACAGACTTGGCAGCCAGTCTTCCATGTGGCTCTGTGCTTGGAGAATAACACTTCAGGCAGTTATAATAATAGTTCTGTTTCTTTTGTTTGTCAAGCTATTTGCTCCTCATTCCACTTCATTTAAGAGCAGAGAAAAAAGCTGCTGTAAAATCAATACATCCAAGTCTCACTCATCTGAAGCACACATGCAGACATACACACACACACAACCGCATAGGAATTCAGTAGCTGTGTCTCAGTGACCAGCCTTTGTCTCTGCAGCAGTCAGCAGGACTTCATGTCATACCATCAACTTCAGTGGGAATGAAAACAGGCCTTAATGCATAAAGCTGAACCAGCAATCGTTGTGTCCTGCAGCACATGAATAATAATGCCATAGGAGTTCAGTTCTGTAAAAATGTCAGAATTTTCCATCTGTGCTGTTTTCATGTACATTCAAGAGCAGGTTATTTGGTCAGTTTTTAAGTAATAGCATTCTGTGTTCTGAACAGATATTTCTATTATAACAGTACTTGTCTTTTTTGTTACACATGAAAGGCTCTGAAATAAAAAAGGATTTTCCCAGGTTGGAAAGGGACAATGCTGCAATATCCCCAAGCCGAGTCCTGGAGCCAGTGCAACAGCATTGTCTGCAAAGCACTTTTTATATTCCCTAACTCACAGCTTTGTCTCGTTTATGTACCCAGAAATCACAAATCCTCATCTCCATAGGGATGGCTATGGCCCTCGCTGTGTCAGAAATTGTTTTTCTGGCAGCCAGGATTTGCACTGTGTATAATTTCATTTCACTACTTATTAAAGTCAATAATGATGTATATTCCCTTCAGAAACTAGTAGTGAGTGGATGTGCCTCGTAATCTGTTAGCCTAGCTCCCAAAATTGGCTTTACAGAGCGGTATGGTTCTGATCCAGCAGCTCTCTCCTTTCTCTCTGCTCAGCACACTTGCACTGAAAGCACAGAAAATCAGCTGGGACAGCGATTTCCCATTTTTTTTCTGTTATGTACCAATCAATCCTCAAAAAATATTTCAGGCTGCCAAAATTACCACCTGTGATCCATAGCCTTGGGACCATCTATCCTGGCCATGAAGCCTGCAGTTGAGAGCCATTGGTGCAGGCATTCCCTGGTCCAGCTGGGAGGCTGGAGGGGTCCCACAGAGCTGAAGCTGCTCTGTGCCCATTTCCCATGGGAGATACAGATGTTTTGGGGTGGCCTAGTGCACCTCGTGTCCAACAAAAACGTGTCCAGAGCTGCTGATCTAAACATGTAGCTCACTAGGCAGATGAAAGCCTTGGTGCTTGTTACTTGTACAGAGATAAGAGACCTTGTCCTAACAAAAAAAACAAAAACAAAAAAAAAAACCAACATGATTTGCCCTCCTCAACATGAGTTAATACTTCATGCACTTTAATTTTTTTAATCACAGGAGCCACGAGAAGGGCCTTGCTCTTTAAATAAATACAGACACATACTGTGTTTTGTCACTTAGGAGGTTGACACAGACTTCTGAGGATATATTAATTAGAGAACTTGGGTATGGCACTACTTTTGTGAAGAGTAGGCCCAGTGAAAGAGTCAGAAAAATCCAAATACTTCCTTTGATCAGACAAATCCAAATGCTTCTTTTGATCCTTTGCACATGGACATAAATGTGGCAAAGCAAGAAAAAGAGCAGAGAATAGTGGAATACACCTATTGTGCTTCCTTTTACAGGAACGCATTAGCAAGATATTATCAATATAATAAAAGCATTATACTTTCTTTGTTACTAGGATAGTTTAACGATCCAGTCCAGTAAATATTAATAGCTTGAAATATGACAAACCCATTAAAAATATTCCATATGTTTTCAGTGGTTTGATTCAATTATAACCCAGAGAAGCTTGAATTTGAGCTAATTCACTCATTCTTGAAATATGTATCATACTTGGAGAGATTTTCCCACTGGCAGATGTCATAGATATGCACAATTTATGCGTGCCAGCTGTGCATAGCTTACCTAGATTACCTTTGTGAGCAAACAGAGTTATCTAACATAAAAATGCAGGGAGACTGTAAAGCAGGCAGTGTGTGAACTTGTGAGGATCAGCAGCTCCGTTCTGGAAGGGTAAGTTCGAAAGTTCAGGGGTATCAATCTAAGCCTTTAAAATCAATAAAATTGAACTATAATTTTTTTCCAGTAACAGACTGTCTCCTTAGATTTCTGGCTCTTCTGCTTGTGTTTATATGAAAAATATTATAACAAACTGGGATTTCAGTGTAGCTACAGGGGCTATGCAATTGCCAATCCCCCATCACATGACATAAGGTATGAAAACATCTGTCAATGTTTGTGGGAAGCAAAGACAGGAGGACCAGAGTAAATATATATAATAAATAGTTCTCATGACATTCTCATTTTTCAGAAGCAGAAATCTATTTCAGTTCTTTATTTCTTCATGTGGCAAGGTAATTCTTTTGTGTTAGAACAAAGATGCATGAAATAAGTAGGTTTTCTTGTGGCTGCTTTGCTATAGTGAAATTCTGTGTTACAGTCTTACAAATGGAGGTTCCATTAGTATGTTTATGGGAGAAGATTTGATTGAAATAATCTTGACAAATGTGGGTATATATATACATGTGAGCTGGTCACTCCAGGCCCCATTTCCAGACAGTGGAAAGAATGAAGTTTTTTTTAATGATGTGATAAATCTCTCCCCGAATGTCTAAAATCAGTCAGATGAATCATGCCCTAAAGTTAGAGGAGATGAATTCCATTTCAAGTGTTTAATATGGTTCTGGCTTAATAGTTTGAAAGAATTTTTCTAATAGACTCAGAAGTGTTCAACAAAAGTGCGGACATTCACGTTATTTAATCAAGTGAATAGCAGTCTTGCACCACTTTATCATGAAACCAGGCAATTCAGATTTTATGAAGCCACTTCGAGCGTTTTGTGAATGTTCTGACAAGAAGAAATCATAAACTGTGATGCATTATAAGATCTGGTATTAATATAGGACTTAATCTTGAAAGGTGGTCTACGTCCTCAAAGCACACACTGCCTCTTGAAGACCAGAGTATTTTGCAGCACCAAGATAAGAAATCCAACCCCCATCCTAATACCAGGATTCTGAACTTTGAATCATAGTATTGTTAGAGTTGGAAGAGTCCTCTGAGGACCATGTAGTCCAACTCCCCTGCAATGAACGGGGGCATCCACAGCTGGGTCAGGTTGCCCAGGGCCTTGCCTTGAAATTCTCCAGGGACGTGGCGTCAACTGCATCTCTTAGCAGCCTGTTCCAGTGCCTCATCACCCTCACTGCAAAAGATTTTTTCCTTATATCTAACCTAAATCTACCCTCTTTGATCTTGAAACCATTTCCCCTTGCTCTGTCACCACAGACCCTTCTAAAGAGTCTGTCCCCTTCTTTCCTGCAGCTCTGCTTTAGATACTACTGAAAAGCCACTCTCGTGTCACCTAGCAGCTTTCTCTTCTCCAGGCTGAGCAGCCCCAGCTCTCTCAGGCTGTCCTTGTAGGCCTTCCTCTGCTTTCTCTGTTTCCAAGAATCTCACATGTACTGTTGAGCTCTCCTGGCAAGGTAACAAGGAAAAGTAAAGAAGAAATGGTTTGGGAACAAAGACCTTTGCAGATTTATTTGATACATTTGGTTGGTTTGACTTCAGCCCTTCTAACGTTGCACTTGTGTAGGAGGAGACTTTTTCCCTGACAATATTCCCCATTTTAAGACCTACTCTGAGAAAACAGCATCTTGTATGAAACTCATGGGAGACAAAGCATAAAGTGGCACCATGCCTGTAGAATCAAGAGGAATGGAAACTGCTATCTATCACCTGGGTCTTAAGGAAAGCTGTGACTGAACAGTGGTCGATCTTGTCCATTCTTCTAAAACTGTGAGAAACTCTGATTCATTAGGACACACTGTGCAACTGAGTGCCCTTGAGCTTAATGAAACATGTGGCTGACTTGTGTAGAACAACGTTTGTGGCATATAAATTTATATGTATGCCATACGAGTTAGAGCTCAACAGGAATACAGATACTGTCTTCCTTCTGCACTTGTGGTGGTTTCACACTCATGGCCAGCTAAAGTCCACCACACCACTTTTTCACGCCCCCTCCTTAAAAGAATAGAGGGAGAAAATATGTTGAACAAAAGGCTCGAATGGAGATAAGGACAAGGAGATCACTCACCAATTATCTTCAAGGGCCGAACAGCCTCAGTCTCATAAGGAAATAATGTGATTTACTGGACTAGAGCAGTGAGAACTAAAAGCAAACTGCAAACTCCTTCCCCCCATCCTACCTCCTCTCCCTGAGCAGTGCAGGACAGTGGGCAATGGGAGCTCTGTTCAGTCCATAATGTTTTGCCTCTGCTACTGCTCCATGGTCCTTCTGTTCTCCACGTGGCTCCCTCCCGCAGGATGCCATCCATCCCAAGGGATGCCATCCTTCCCGAACTGAGCCTTCATGGGCTTCCCACAGGCTGCAGCTCTTCAAGCTCCAGCATGGCTCTGTACCTTCATTCAGAGAGGTAAAACTGAAGGTGATTTGTCAAGATCAAATAGGCCACTTCTACCTTCCCTGCCATGCTCTGGGTGAAGCACTGCCATGTATCTCTGGGATACCTTGCAGAGAGCTGCTCTATTAATACTAATGTGAGTTTAAGGGGATTCTGGACTTGCCTACAGAAAAAAAAGTGATCAAATCCATATTTCTTGAACCTCTATTGAATGGCAGATAGACTGTTCTTCAGAGTGGAAAAGCAACATTAGAAAAAAATGTTTTTAAAACTCAGGTTGTAAACCTTTGATGTGGACAACGCACCCTTGAACGATTTCACAATTTTGCTTCGTACAGTTGTGAAATCAAGCCTGAAAATCCGTGTTAGCTCGAGCAATGCAGTAATGCAGATTTGTAACTTCTGTCTTGTATCCATACAGACAAACACAAAGCATTTCTTCTCCCAGCTCTGAATATTTTAAAACTTTGTTGACAGCTATGAAATCCTGCAGTATGATGAATAAAAAGTTGATTTGCTCATAGCTTAGCAGAAGAACTATTCTCGGCCTGCCAGGATAAGCAGTTCTTTAGTGTATTCCCAGATATCCTAAATATGTTAAATCCTTTCTGTATATTTTTTGACTGTGGAAAGATGACTCTGAAGTACAAATCAGAGCTTTAATCAGCTAAAAAACTGACAGAGATGGATAGCAATGTAACCTACTGCTTTATTGCTTCACAACAAAGATGCAGTCATAGGTTAGGGGTTATGAATATTTGTGGAGCTTCATTGAGGAAACTCGCTGTCCCTCTCTGCTCCTCACTGATGTGCTGTACAGCTTTCCTCCAATGATTGTCTGCCAGCTGCACTGAGCGTACCTGAACTGCAGCCTCACAAAAGGTGGAAGCCTGTTCAGAGAAGAGAGCTACCATGCACACAGCATAGTATGGTGTATTTGTCACACAACAATAAATTAAAAGAGTCTACAGAACCAAGCAAAGCATACAAGCCAGCCAATGGAATATTTAACATACAATATAATTTCAGGAATAATAATTACTTGCTATTGAATTCCAGAGAATCAGTGAAAGAAATAAGCCATAGAAAACAGTGTACTCTTCCTTAAATTCTGTAGACTATATTTGAATAGAATATAATTCTACAGTGTTGAATCCTATTAAATGATATTTTTTTCTTGATTTTATAAGATTTAAGGTGTGGCTGTATATTGGAGCTGTTTTTCCTGCTAATGTTACCTACTAAACTGATTAATAAAGATTGCCATTTTCTGACAGTGCTACAGGCAGAACTGTAAATGCTTTACTGCACAGACCTCTCAAACAAATGTTTGACAAAGGAGAGGAGGATTTTGAAGATTAAATTGACTGTGCTGTACATGAAGCAAGGCATTTACAGTCCTCCCCCCATTTGTAGTCAGCCTATGCCCATTCTGAACCTGCAGCAGCGATTTTTCTTTTTCCAGAAAATACTTATAGTACCAACTAATTTCAGCTGTGCTCTGAATGAGCCCTGCTTGGCTTGTGCTACAGAGTGAAAGCAATAAGTTTCTTCCCTCCATTACTTTGGGAGATGTACTTTATGACAGGTTGATTTCTTCCTGTATAAATTGTAAATAAAATACATATGCTCCAAAAATAAAATAGTATTTGAATACAATTTGAGGTTCTGCAATAAACAAGAATGGCCGATATTCAGAAAGTGATGGGTAGGAAAGGGCTGAAATTCTATCATTAAAATCACCACCTGCATGAGCTACTTTAAATAAATGACTTTGATAAGCAAAAATTCGATTCCAGCAGCTGGCTCTCTCTCAGTTCAAGCCCTGACAGCAAGTCAATAGGAGCAGTGGCATGGATGCCTCTTCCTGCAGTTGAAAAAGTGTACTTTCATAACATTTGCATACAGACATCCAGAGGTAGAAACTGACCCCAAATGAACTAAATTCTCTATTACAGTCAACAAAAGTTTAACTGTTGAGAAATTTATAGGAGAATTCCTATATTGAGCATTGGTAGTTGTATTGTGTTTTGCAGTGTAGTACAAAGTGTTTGCAAACATTTTAGGATCGGACAGTTGGAACATTTAGGCACTCTGAAAAGTTGTAGAGAAGTTTTATCCAAGCAGTTTGACACTGATGGGGATTCAGGTAAACCCATGATGTGCTCAGCATGTTGCGTGTTAAAATTTAGGAGGTTTCAAATATCCTTAATGCAATTAAAAAAAAACACTGTTCTAAGCAAATTTAAAATACTGTATACAGCTGTTCCTCCATCTTAAAACCTTTTTAAAGTTACTAGTAGTTCTGAATTCACACTTTCTTGAGCAAGGTTTGATTCCATAACATGAAATGTGTGTTTTTCTTATTCAGTCTCCTGTGGAACTCTAACTCCCTAAAATTTACTTCCCGTGAGAGTGCTGAGGCTAAAGGAGCACACAGCTTCGAGTAATTTGTTTCCTAGTATCCCCAAACTCCCTGTATGGGAGGCTTTGTGAGTAAATGAGTGACCTGAACATCACTAATATATAACCGGTTACCATTCAGAACAGCTGGTTCTCATAATATTTTGCTATGGATTTTAGGGCACCCTTTTAGGAATCATGACAACGTTTTGCTAATTGTCTGAAGAGCATCTCTTCCCTGATTACTTTTGCTTAGCAGTTATTAGCATTATTAAGCCATGCTTGGCTTGTACTGAAGTTTGAGATCAATAATTGTCTTTCTTTTATTACATCTGTGCTGCTAAAGATCCTGTTTCACACTGCGTCCCTGACAGTACTTTAACTTATTGCAGGAGGACTGTGCCCAGGGTCTAACGATCCCTGTCTGGAGAAGCCGTGCCCGGGGGACATGCAGTGTGTGGGGTACGAAGCCAACCGGAGACCTTTCATCTGCCAGTGCCCGCCAGGGAAGCTTGGCGAATGCTCAGGTGCACATCAAAGCGGGAGCCGGGGATGTACTTGAAGAAAAAAGATGTTGTCATTCTTTTGTAGGTAGAGGTGCCACTGAAGTCAATAGAAGACGTACTGTTTAACCTTTCTCAGCACTGGCACTCAGTGTATCTCTTCATAGCAGTTGGCTTTTTACATATAAGGCTGTATGAAGTTTAATGCATAATGCAGTTTCTTGTTGAAACTGGCTTGGTTGAATTCCCCAATCAGTAAAACAGGCTACTGAGAAAAATAAAGGGCTGTTTCTAGAGGCTGTTATGCCAGATGTTGTCTTGCCATGGACAGAGCTCTATAGTTAATTTAACTCTTCTGCTTGTAATTTAGATTACCAAAATTCCAGTCTTTATTAATAAAAACACTGCACCATCCCAAAAATCAACTTGCAGGACATTTGTGAGTTCTCTGCAGCTGTGTTATTCCCTGGGATACAAACAGTGTGGTGCAGAGCCTTCCACTGACATCAGTAGTGCTAGGACAGCACAGGGGTGTTTTCTCCAGGAAAACACAGGAAATACTATCTTGTTTCATTGTGATTCTGGGCAGTGCTTGCAGGGAACTGACTGTACAGCTTTGACTGGCATCCACTCACACCTGGCTATCTACCCATAACTCAACTGCCTGATGTACAAACTTGGCCATTTTGGACTCCCTTTGGTATCAGGTGAGAAGAGATAGATGCGGTCAGGGATAGATAGCCTTAAAAATGCTGAATGCTTGGAAGAAATCACTTTTTTGTTTTTGTTTTTGTTTTTTTTTTTTGTTTTTGTTTTTGTAAGTTTGGAGAAATAGAGCTATCCCTCTCCTCTGAAAAATAATTTCCTGAAAAAATGCAGTATATATTTGTAGTAGGCGCAAGCTTTTTTCCCATCACAGTTGGGTGTTATTTACAAGTTTCTTCCTAAAAATTCTCATTAGCTCTTTAAATTCTTTAATTAGCTTGACAGCTGAGGAATATTTTGTGTGTCACTAAAAGAACATGTGTCTTTTCAAAATGGTTATTTCAGGCCACACTTCCCTTAGCTTTGCTGGGAATAGTTACATTAAATACCGCGTTTCTGAAAACAGCAAGAAAGAGGAATTCAAGTTGGCTCTACGTCTGCGAACCCTGCAAAGCAATGGGATTATAATGTACACCAGAGCAAATCCCTGTATAATTCTGAAGGTAATTAAAATAACTTATCTTTTCTGCAGTTGTTTTTCTTGATTACATGTTTTCTGTTGGCTCTTGATTTGGGGAATGTTGTTCTCATTTCAGCTGTAGATTGAGAAGATGAAGTCTGATCTGTTTCATACTAACAGGGAAAAACACCAATTTCAAGAGAGTCTGCAACAACAGCAATGAAAATGCTGCTTGTTAGTGGTACTTTACTTGGAAAATGCTCAATTGGTTGCTGTTCATTTTAAGAATATTAAATGTGTTTGCATGCAACAGCTGATCTGCACAAGATGTAAGATTTGTCCATTTACATGACCATATAGTCCAAATAACACATGCTGAAATAGCTTCTCTTCCCATGTGTCCATGCCTATGGTTAGAGAATATGCCCGTGCTGCTGTCAAATTAATTCCAGAACCCAACTGCTTAGAGAACCTCTCCTACTGAATAAATAGATTTCTACACTCTGTGAATTAAAATTGGCTAGAGAGTCATGAAATAGCTGGAGAAAATAGCTGGAGATTGATTGCCAATGATTATTTATTTGATAAGCTTTCTATTCTTTGTTTGGTTTTTGTAGAATGACAGTATCTTCTGGATAGAAAGGGAGTGCTGGGCTCATCCAAGAGCCTGTGTATTAGTATTACTGCTAGAGACTCCAAGGTACAAAACAAGGATGCTGACTTTCGTAATTCATCCATGTCCTATAATTCAACAGTGGGAGAAATGGCACAATGCCTCTTGTATCCGTATTTGTAATCTTCAGATTTCTTTTAGCTGAATACTTAGGTAATGTTAAAATTGCTAGATGAGTTATTATTGGGCAACAAATGATTGTATAGTTGTTGGACTGAAATATTTCATGCATAGGAATGCTGTCTTTCATTCTCTGAGAATTCTAGCAGTGCTGAGATTTGTACAAGACAAAGCTTATCATAGAATCATAGAATGGCCTGAGTTGAAAAGGGCCTCAAAGATCATTTAATTTCAACCCCCTGCTATGTGCAGGGTCACCAACTCCTAGATAAGGCTGCCCAGAGCCATATCCAGCCTGGCCTTGAATGCCTCTAGGGATGGGGCATCCACAGCCTATCTGGGCAAAGTTGAAGACATTTTTTGAAGCCTTCATTGTGGTCGCTCTTGCTATGTATCAGTAAAGAACACTGCAGATTAGTTTTGAAAAACACTTGGGAAAAAAACAAATGGCCCTGCTAAAAGGTACCACTTGAAAACAATAGGAGATGATACGTAGGCAGACTGAAATTGTGTTACAGTGAATACAGCAGAGTTTACTGTATAAAACTGTCATAATTAGGGAGTCAAGAAGGTCAGGACAACGATAATGTAAAAATTGTGACTGTTCTAGATAACATTTTATTTCAAATATTATAAAAGAGAGGACTGCAGTGGAAGCATACTATGTACTTTTCCATCTAGCTTATTTCAAGTGATTAAATTATTACAATTTTTGTTACCATTGGTATTATACCGAATTTTATGGAAAGTGTGGATGGATGTAAGAGCACTGACCTTTGCTGCGGTGAAAAGTAAAGGGATTTCCACAGCAAAATCCTATACACCATTTATCAGGGCTTTGTTCAGGGAAGTAGCCCTGAGCCCCCAAGTAATTCAGGCTTTAAGAGAAAGCATGCTGAGAATCATAGTTGCTTCAGTTAAGCCAACCACTTAAGTCTACATGGAAACCAGGCATCACATGAAGCTCATTTGACGGTATGCTAGGAATAGACCTAGTTGCTGGGATTCAGTACTGGCATTTTCCTTCCCTCTCCTGCCACCTGTATTCCCATTTGACCTGGATAGTGCTTCAGGCTAAAAATGGGAGATATGTTGATGTTAATGGGCTGAGCTCAGGCTGTTCAACTCGTGGAGACGTTCTCTAATGTTTGGCTTGTAGGCAACCAAATGGAAAATTCCATTTGAAGTTGGGAATTTTGATTAATCTGTGGTATTATTACATAAAAATAAATGAGAGCCAGTCATTGCAGTTCTCTGGGTTGGGTTCATAGTTATAGGTTTGAAATTTTGTGGGCTTGGTCATGGTTCCCACAATCAGTTAATCATTTTGCTTTGAAAGATACTGGGAATAAAGAACAGTAATTGAAGGAGCAGTGACAAGAGCAGTTGACATTCTGCTCCTGTCTCACAGGTTAACTTCTTTTTGCTTCCTAGTTGTTAAGGAAGGATTTCCAGATCTGAACCCACCTCATAGCACTTAACAAAGATCTTTGAACACCTCACACGTTCAACAGGAAAGGTCCAGTGTTATCTGTGCAGTGCTATAGATGCAAGAGTGCCACTATCTCCAATGCATCAGGCAGGGAATGACACCAGAAAATCCCTGCTTAAAGCCTTGAACTTTGTTTTTCATCTTTTAGATTAGGGAAGGACTTGCTGTTGTAGTGGGTAGGTCCTTTTACCCAGGTGTGGCCCTTAGATTGTTTAAGCAAGAGATTTAAAGAAGAGCATTACTTGTGATGTGTTTGTGGAGATGTGGCTTCACCTCATCAGGAATTGCTAATTTTGTTCATGAAGCTCATTTAGCAAAGTAACTTCAGACTAAGATCTTATAAATGTTCATTGTGGCAGACAACAGGTGCTCTGCTCAAGAGATGTAGCCATAGCAGGGCTCTTCAGGGATATCACCTATCTCATGTACTGCACTTTGGGATCTCTTACTAAGATGTTTCCAACTAAGTTAGCCTTAAATTTTGCTAGCATGTATTTTCATTTGTAACCCAGAGGTTGAGCTTTTTTTTTTTTTTTCATTTAAATAGATACGTATGTTGCAGGATAGGGAGGCACTCAGAAATGAGACCATTAAGTAGATTAATTAGCGGTCTATAAATGTGAAGTTGTTATCATTTGAGCATTGCTTTCAATTAAATTAAACATGAGGAGAAGCTTTCCAAATAGAGGATAAAAAATGGGATCTTGTGCTCTTTTGAGCACCCTGGCACCACTCCAGCAAAGCACTTAATCACTTGCTTAACTTCCTGTATTTGAAGGCAATTGGAACGACTCACATAACTTAATTTTGAGCATGTACTTAAGTGTCTTGATGGTTTAGCAGCAGAGGGCCTAGTACCAACACTGAGCCCAAACAAAGGTAGAGCTGGAAGAAGTTTGGACCCATCTTGTACTACGAACCCATGGGAGAACAGGCAGAAAACAACAGCACTGCTAGAGAATGTGGTGGCATTGATTTTTTCAAGCAAGTCCCCTCCATTGCAGTCTATTTAAAATTTAATGCTGCAATATGGTTTTCACTGTTTAAATGACCAGCTTAATTTGGGGATCTCATACATTTATGATAACTCTAGAGATGGAAATATTTCATAATCATAACACAGTGTCCTTGGATGAATTATCAATTCTGTAGAGCAAACTGCTTGCTGAAAGCCTACCAGTTACACTGTATTGATGCAATATAATAAGGGTGTTATTTATTCAGCTGTTTCAAATAAAGCAACTCATCCATCGATTTTGAGAGGCTGGCCAGTTTTTCATTGTTCACTCTTGCTTTTAAGACAATTGGGAAAAAATGAGTTGTAGGTGGATTGCTTTTTCTTTCTTCTCTGGAAGGATTTCATGTGCATAAAACAGTATAACCATTTCCAAAGTCCATATGTGATGCTCCAGACAGAGCTTCTATCCGGGAAAAATAAGAGTTAACAATTTAAAGCACATTGAGGCCATTCCAGCTGAAAATTACACAAATAATTTTTTTTAAAGGAATATAATTGAGATTCAATTTGATTTTTAGAATTTAAAGTATTAAAAACAGGTAAAGGAAGAGTTTATCTTCATGCCAGAAATGTAGCTATTTAATGGTAAAAGGCATATGTTCTTCCATCCAGACAGTTAATAGGAAACTTTGCATGGTTTAGTTAAGTGTGTATTATTCGTTTGAATGCGTTACTGCTGCATGGCTTATGCTGGGTAAGGCTGAAGCTTGGATATGATCCCAGCTATGGCTGGAGTTGAAACAAGTAACGTTTTAATTAAATATACTGTTTTACACAAACAAACCCAAAATGTAATTCAGCTAACGAAATATTTCCCCAGATAGATTAGTAGGCAGCGCACTGTATCCGTGGTGTGTGACTGCAAATGGACTGTGAGAGCCTAACGTGGTCTCAGAAGAACCATTTGATCGTTTTATTACCTATGTTGATACACAAACATGGGCGTTAGCCAAACATCTTAGCCAGGCTAATATTCTAATATAATTTACAATATGTGTTTGGCTCCATTTTGCTCACTGAATGAAACTGTTGAAATGTAACAGATTGCATCACCTTTTGGAGCCTTCTCTGTTCTTTGTACTTCTCCACTCATTTTGTGTAGGTGAGGAGCTCTGTGTCTATAATAACATACATCTTTAAGTGGGTATTAACCTCAGTTTCCTAAAGTATATAATGAGAGACAGTGTAACTAAGCCCAGAAGGAGGTGGGCAGCTGAAAGCTTGGTGGGCCTCTCATGGGATTTTCATACAGTTTGTTTTACACGTAACTCATTTGATCAGAAGTTAACTTAAAGTTCAGCTTTTCTTGGTTCCAAGATCCAAGCTATTAAGCTAAGATTCCCCCATGAGGATGAAGCAGTGCCACAACCTCACAGTGGTTATGCAGAATCGTGGGAACACCAGAGATTAACTGCTGAATTGAAGATCTGCGGTTGACTTCTCCACGCTTAGGAGAAGAGATGTCGTTTTGCCCTTTTGAGTGGAGAACCCTTCTCTTCCCTAACCAGCCGGACTGCTAAGCAGGCAAGATAGGAGCTCTTTAGGGTTCCTCACTCTTGCTAGAGGCACAGGGCCAGCAGAGAACAAACATTTCCTTCCTGCCCTGCTACAGCAAGGTCTATGACCATCCATTTATTGAGAGCAATCTTATGGTCCCAGTGCTAGGGGGCCCTGAGCATGTCAGAGTCTTTAATGTGCTTATCCATAAAGCACTGATGTGAGGGAGGGAAATGACGTTATCCTTGTTTTACTGATGGAGACCTGAAGCTATTGACTTGCTTAAGCTCCCAGAGGAAGAGCACTGCAGAGTCTTGATTCCCATGCATTTCTATCATGTCTCAGGTTAGCACTGCAAGTGCTGGAGCATCCTTCCCATCTTTCACTCTAGCCTAAGGTTGGGGTTACTAGTGCTTTTTTAATAAAGAGAAGGAAGCACAGCATTTCAGATGTGTGTCAAATCATCTTCTGGTAAAAGGAAAGAGAAATAAATGAGAAAGATGTATAAAACATATTTGCACTACAGATATTTTAGATCATCATTTCCCATATATAAATGCTGTAATATTTATCCCAGGTGCTCATATGTGGTGTTGTATTTATAAAGATAATTGGAAAAGCATGTTCTGTGAGTAAGGGTAATAGACATGCATGCAGTTGGCCCTTCAGGGTATAAGTAGTCTTAGGGGAGGTATATGTGTACTACACACAAGCAGTAGTATGGTTTCCATAGGAAAAAGCCTTTAGAATAAGGAGAAAGTTAACTGCTTATCCAATGATGGCCATTTTTTAAAGTGTAGTGTCTTGGCATATATTTTTCTGCATAATTTTTATTCCTGTTGAGACAGACCATACATTCTGGGCAGCATCTTCAAGGTTTGTGGACTGTTCTGCTGCACCGGGTGAAAAGAATATTGCTGCATCTCTTGAGAAAACTATTTCAGTTTATCAAGGCATCTTGTTTACTAAGATTCCTCCCGAGCAGATGCTTTAACAGGGCCAGTTTAAATCTTCAGAAATAGTTGGCAGATGAGATTTGAATCCTATAAGAATAGATTTTAGATGAAAAATGTTCCAGACATTTTTCTACATGTCCATTAGCCTTTTTTGATTGAGCTGAGAGAGTACGAAGCAATACCCATCCCTCAAACATATTGTATTACAATCATAGATCTCATTTCTTCTCAATTTCATTACATATTTCTGGTCATAGACTTCAAAATAACCAGCTGTCCATAGGAGAACCTAATTTATTTAGTTCTTGTAGCTCTTTCTACATTCTAGTCACTTCTGGTGTTATATTTTAGGTTGTGGACATTTTCAGGAAGCTTGTTGTGTGCTTAGCATCTCTATTTCTACCTTGTGTAAGCATTTGTGGAGCAGCTGAGCACTGTAGGAGTGCCCCATCTGGCTCATGTCACTTCCCTTGAGGTTACAGCCTAGTTCAAATTCAGCTGGCCATGAGATTGAGATCTGGAAAGGAGAGACGCAAAGTCCAGGGAACATCAGAGCTCAAGATTTTACCCATATTTTTTCTCCAGGTAGTTTTGTGAACTTCCAAGGGCTGACAACATGACTGTCAAGGAGGAACCCTTGCTTTAATGTATGATGTAAACTCAAGCTCAGTGGAGGAATCAGGCTGGAGCATTGGCAAATGGCAAACTCACACTGCAGTTGAAGGAATATTTGTTTTCCTAGGATAAAGAGTATAATTTTAAACTTTCACTTGCTGGAAACCATGCCCTCTATTCCTACAGATTAATGGCATCCCATTTACCATCAAACCACATCAGAGTGGCTGCAAGAGAAGAGTTTGAGCTCCAGTTTAGACACATGCCAAAGGATGTCATCAGCTATCCCAGTTTTAAATGACTACGCAGTCAACCATGGCAAAAATAGCCCAAAATGTCCAAAGACATGGACAGAATGCAGCTTTCCCACATATGCACTAACCATGCCAGCTTAATGGGCCACCAAAGCTGTGGTGGGTTCTTGTATCTTTGGTCTATGATCCATTGGCATCTTTGGCACCTTTGCTTTGCCAGGTGAGAGCAATAGGATTGTGTCACGAGTGAACTGGTACAGAGTGCAGTCTGTGCTGCAAGGAAGGCTGCTAAAGGACACAGTGTCTGAACTTTTCAGGGGGATAAATAATGGGACAGAACTGTCTTAAGATGGGATTTGCAGGAATAAATACTTCCTAGAGCATGACATAAAGGTAAAATAATTGCAAGAGCTTTCAGAGATCCTGAATCCAATTAACATGTCATAAGAAATTATCTCCTAACCCTGACAGCCATTTTAAACTTATCTGCCATCTATTAAAGAAACCTAAAAATCTTTGGATAAACTGCTAATCGAGAAAGCAGCACTTCATACCTCTTCCCTCTCTCTGCACTCGGCCTGCCCCAGCATGCTAGTACAGATTTTCCCTGGATAAGGACTTCAGATTAGAGGGAATCTAAGTCTGAGTTTCATAGCTCTGTCTGTAAGTATTTGCATCAGCTCTCATCACTGTATCCCCTTTGCAGTTCTTGACAGATTTTACTTACAGACCTTCGTATCAGGAAGAGAAGGGCTGTATTGTTTTACAGTTGATGCATGAACAGATTAAATGATTAGCACAGCAATGTTTCATTCCCCTCAGTGCTCCACTTTGCCTCTTACCTAGCATCCCTCAGCCACTTTCTCTTGAAAAACATTTTCTTGAGTGAGGGGCATTATGGAGAGTGAGAAATCATGGAGCCACGGAATCATAATATCATAGAATAGTTGTGTTGGAAGGGATCTTAAAGATCATCTAGTTCCCTCTCTCTTGCCATGGGCAGGAACATATTTCACTAGAAGAGATTGCTCAAAGCCCTGCCCAACCTGACTTGGAACGCTTCCAGCGTTGATCATCCACAGCTTCTCTGGGCAACCTGTTCCAGTATCTCAATCAAAAGAAATCATAACAATCACTCTAAAGCCACAAACTCAGCATAAATATGAGGAAAGGAAAAAAAGTAAAGCCATCTTAATGTAAAGCACTGGAACAGGCTTCCCAGGGAGGGAAGTGGAGTCTCCTTCTCTGGAGATGTTCAAGACCTGCCTGGATGCCTACTTGTGTGACCTAGTGTAGGGAACTTGCTTTGGCAGGGGGGTTGGACTCGATGATCTCTGGAGGTCCCTTCCAACCCCTACAATTCTGTGATTCTGTGATTCTGTAAAGCATACACAATGAATAATACACGCAAAGGATAGTATGGCCTCAATGGAAAATACATGACTTCTAGCCAACCAGAATCTTAGAATTAGAACTAGAACTAAAATAGTAAACTAATAAAGTAATTAGTAAAAAAGGACCTACAAAGACCAGGAAGTCCAACTGCCTGACCACAGAAAGTTAAAGCATGTGGTTGAGGATGTTAGCAAAATGCATCATGAACTCCTGCAGGCATGGGGCATCTACGAGCCTACTATTTTCTCAAACAACAGATCTGGAAGGGCACTTTTCCTCATTAACTTAAGATAAGTACTGAAGATAAGAAGTTAGGAAGAAATACTTTACTCAAAGGGCGGTGAGGCTTTGGCACAGGCTGCCCAGAGAAGTTATGGATGCCCCATCCCTGGAGGTGCTCAAGGCAGATTTGGATGGGACGTTGGGCAATGTGATCTGGTGGGTGGCAACCAACCCATGGCAGAGGGCTTGGAGTTTGATGATTTTTAAGGCTCCCTGCAACGCAAACCATTCTGTGATTTTCAACAAGCTCTAGACTTGCTTGTCACAGCAGCATGATATTCCCAGTTCATGTCAGGGAAGCTGAACTCTCCCAATAGCAATGAGAGCAGCTGAACCAGAGATTTCCCCTCATTACCTTTACAATAACTCATCTATCCCAGCACTCTAGTTCTGGGACTCATCCTATGCAATGTCATTAATATCTATGATACAACTCTGGGAAAGGAAAAGCTTCCAGTTTGCCTCATTTGTTCCTCGTACTGGGTATGTTCATACACAAGCATTTCAGATGTGCTTCTTAACCCTTAGAGCTCCTTGGTGCAACACAGATGTTCTTGTTAGCCTTGCCACGCCTAAATGGTGCTGTACCATCCCTTGGCTTAAGCTCAGTGTTCCTCCTGGTTTTCCCTTCCTCTGTATCACATTGTTATCCTTAGAGGAACTGAAGCTGGGGCCAAGTGCACGCCATGCTGAGATGTGTGTTACACATCCATATTTATTTTTCTCCATATGTTTAGTTTGCCTACAGGAACTGGCTTTGGGTACATTCTAAGTAGCAATACTACCTTGTGTTTACTTCTTGTGATAAAAGCACAGCATTTTGTTGTTTCTGCAGCATGTAGAAGCCCATCTTTAGCACTGTACAGAGTCCGGAAGTCCCCTGTGTTTTCATTCTCTGTGAGAGCTTATGATGAGAAATCTGAAGCACTGTGATTTCTGTTTCCTCCCACAGATTGTTGATGGCAAACTGTGGTTCCAGTTGGACTGTGGGACTGGCCCGGGGATCCTGGGAATTTCTGGCAGGGCTGTCAATGATGGCAGCTGGCACTCAGTTTTCCTGGAGCTGAATCGCAACTTCACGAGCTTGTCCCTGGACGACAGCTACGTGGAGCGCCGCAAAGCCCCCCTCTATTTCCAGACCCTCAGCACGGATAGCTCTGTCTATTTTGGAGCACAGGTGCAAGTGGATAACGTCCGCAGCCTGACCGACAAGAGAACCACGCAGGTCTTGAGCGGCTTCCAGGGCTGCCTGGATTCAGTCGTGCTAAACAACAACGAGCTGCCGCTGCAGAACAAGCGCAGCAGCTTTGCAGAAGTGGTTGGCTTGACGGAGCTGAAACTCGGCTGCGTGCTGTACCCCGACGCGTGCGAGCGGCATCCCTGCCAGAACGGCGGCACCTGTACCAGCGTGCCATCTGGTGGTAAATGTTTTGCATTGCTTTATGGGTTTTCCCTCTCGTTTTCCTCTACAATTTATTGTTGGAAATGGTTTTATGCAGCAGCCTGCTTGAAAAAATCTCGTGAACTCTATAAAGCTCAGATAGGTATTGCAAATTGTGTAAAAGCTGTTTGCTCTATAAATAATGGTGAAACCGTGCCCCTTCTCGTTGCATTAATGTTCCAAAAGGAAATTGATTTATTGACTGTTAGGATAATCCTATTTCTATAGAAACCAATAGAATTAGAATTACTGTAATTCTCAGCTGGATTTTACGGGACCATTTACAGCAGCAGAGGTTATACACAAAGATGGTGATTTTGAACGTCCGTCACTGATGCAATGGTACTGTTGCCCTTCTCTGTTTCTGAAGCTGTCACAAATAATTATTGAGCTGTCTACAAACACCTTGGTCCTTTTGTGAGTGAGTAATTTGATTCCATGTCTGCACATAGAGGAGAGAGTCTACACCATTATAAACCCCTTGAAGTGTACTTACAGCTTCCTTGGAAGCCTGGGTGCTACAAGGTCTAATATCAAAGTTTATAGGGCATTGATTTAAATGGTGCTAGAGTTTCTTATCCAGTGGTGGCATGTGTAATCTGGTTTTAGTGATTCACTGCCTAGTAACCTAATGTAGTAAACTAGTAATCTAATTGAATGTAGTAGAACCAGTAGTAAAATAATCTGGTGCACAACATACCCCAACCATAAGAACATCTTAGTGGGAAAACAGCAAATGACATACATATAGGACCTTTCTTGTAGGGTTGTTCTATTTCTGCCCTCTTTCCTACATTGCAGAAAGCATTGTTCATCTTTTCTGGCAAGCTAAAATTTAGCCATAGTGAGCTGGCAAAGTTCGACACTCCCCATGTCCTGATTAGGACATTTTTTCAGTCCAAAAAAAAAGTAGCATTGTCAACAGGGAGACCTTCTGCAAGCACAGAGCTTTCCATTCACTTATTTTTGGCATTTTAAGTCATGTTTCCATAGGGAAAATGCATTTTAGTTATTATCCAGGCCTTTCTGCTTAACTGTGTCTATGTAGTTCCCTCATTTGTTTTTCAATTGTTTTCAGTTTTCATAGAATCAAAGAATCACAGAATGGCCCAGGTTGGAAGGGACCTCAAGGGTCATGAATCTCCAACCTCCCTGCTGCATGCAGGACCACCACCTCCACATTTAATACTAGACCAGACTGCCCAGGGCCCCATCCAACCTGGCCTTGAACACCTCCAGGGATGGGGCATCCACAACCTCTCTGGGCAGCTGTTCCAGCACCTCACCACTCTCATAGTAAAGAACTTCCCCCAAAGTTCTCTTTGGTTTTCTGCACTCACTCTCTAGTTCTACCTCTTAGTTGAGAGTTAGGCTGTTACCTGCGAATCCAGTGGTCCTGGAGAGAGTTGCAGGATGTATTCCCAGTCCTCCCCATGCCGCCACGTGCTGGCACCAGGGTCTTCAGAGATCTAAACAGATTTTTGGTGCCTAACCTGCACAGTACTTTTAACTGGGATATTTTTATGAAGGTGCACTTCACAGAACTGTGTCTATTTTCTTAAACTTTAGTAAATTCTTAAACTTCAGAACATTTTAATTTAGTTTTCAGAGCCGAAATCTTGTGAGATTCTGAGCAAAACCAACTGTGAGACGTTTTTTGTCTTTATAGACTAAGGTCCAACACTATGGATTTTCAGATGCTGGATCTCAGCTCACTTCTCTTCTGAATGCTTGGCTTCGATTCAGCCACCTCTTCTTCAATGGCAATGTTACGTAAAGATTACGTAAATCGCTCGGAAATACATCTGTTCCATGTATATGGACGTAGTGTGGCTTTGATTGACTCCATGCTTAATAAATGAGGATAACCATTCCTCAAGCCATCATCCTAGGAAGCATGAGAACAGCTCTTTGTGTTGAATTTGTTTGAGCCTATTTACGATACTGCTCAATGGTCTCATGATGAGTAAATTGGAACCTTTCTAAGGAACTGTTTCACAGTTTCACAGCAACTGAATTTTTCCCAGCACCCTCTGCTTGCTATTTCACACTTTGGGGAGCAGTAGAATGGGGAAACCTGAAGGTTGGGCAGACTCTTGAAAATGGACCCATTTTGTTACTGGAATGGGCAGGCACGGTTCTCATGTCAGCATAATTTGCTGCTGGAACACAGTCACGGAGCTGATTTAACTTGCCTTGCCTTCCTGCCTCGGCGAGGGGCATGTGCCCTGCGGGGATGTTTCGGCTGCCTGCCGCTCCAAAATCTGTTTGCTGTTTTTACTGCCTCAGCAGTGTATGTAAATACAAGGTTGTTATAAAGCCATAATTCTAGCGCAATGGGCCCTGACTGTATGTTGGCAGATCTGTAGCCCAGCCCCTTAGAAGTCGTGGGCAGCTTTGTTTCCACCAAGCAAAACAACTCTGTTGATAGTGTCCTGCATGCTCAAAAAGATCCTGTAATTAAATGCCATAGAGCCCAACAGCACTGCAAATGCTGGTTATGGAGCCACAAATTGCACTGTGCGTTTAAGAATCGCCAGACATGCTTGGTGACATAGATGTTAGCAGATGGATTTTATTTTAAAAAGGATAAATTTAATCAATCTTTATTTTTTATCTTAAGAATGGAAATAACAGGTTTTGGGGAGAAAACAGATATTTAAAATGTCCAGCAGAAATCTCATCCCCAGTCAGTGGGCATTTGAAAGGTTCAAGGTTTCTTTCCTAATGCTTTCACAGAATCGTAGAATCACAGAATGGTTTGAGTTTGAAGGAATCCTTATGGACCATCTAAGTCCAACCTCCCTGCAATGAGCAAGGCCACCTACAGCTCCATCAGATGCTCAGAGCCCTATCCAGCCTGACCATGGGTGTCTCCAGGGATGGGGCATCCATCACCATTCTAGGCAGCCTATACTAGTGCCTCAACACCCTTATAGTAAAAAAAAAATTTCTTCCTTATCTCCAATTTAAATCTCTCCTCTTTTAGTTTGAAATAATTTCCCCTCTTCCTATGATTCCTTCCTTTGATATGATATTTTCCTCCTGTTAAACTTTCTGGAGTATTATGGTTCTTTTCCTAAACAGCGAGTGTTTGGAATGATAGCAGGATTTCTTTTAATAAATCAGTCCTTTAATTTGAATTTTACAGAGCAGATTTCATATACGGTTAACATCCTTTCCCTTAAAAAACCCTACTGTGCTTTACAAGGAAATTAAGAGAGAGAAAAAGAAAGCCCAGATTTATAGCTAACTTTAAAAGAAAACAGTCAAACAAAGGCTACCCAACATTATAGCATTAAAGTTGCTGGCTACATGCCAGAAATCAAAGGGCCAGTGTCTAATTTAAACACAATTTACATAAATTGATCATCTAAAATACAATCTCGGTAATAGCATTCCTGTTGTGAGATCTTCCTTTCAGTGGAAATGCCTACTGTTCACCATTAATAAAAAGCTGCCTCTGAGTGCTTTTTACTGTGCAGCTATGGAAATAGGGTAACATTGTGGCCCTGGATGGGGAATTGTTAAAGTGGTGCTTTGTGTGCACTAGGAGCGTGAACGTATTGTAACAGGAGAACAAAACTGCGATCTCAGCCTGCAAGAGGATGCACAGATAATTCAGATGCTCATCACTGAGAGGCTGTGGAGTCTCCTTCTTGGAGATACAAAGCAGTCAGCTGGGCATGGCCCTGAGCAGCCTGCTATGGGTGCCCCTGCTGGAGCTGGGCTTGGAACGCATGAACTCAGAGGTCCCTGCCAACAACAGCCATGCAGTGAGAGCATGTAAGAGCTTCTCTGCTTCCATAATTTGGGTTCTGGACCAGCAGAGTTACCATGACATGAGTTGCACTGATGTGTTTCCACAAGTCTGAATCAAATCCCATGTCAGCAGTAGATGTCCAGTGCTGTCAGTGGTTATAAAGCTGAGGCAGGGCACAGTGTGCCCAGGGAGCCCACAGGGACATCTCATGCATGGTTAAAAGAGCCTGAGAAAGGGGGAAGAGCACTCACCAGGATTGTTCCTGACAGCTCAGGAGACTGCTAGCAGGAGGAGATTTCAGCTTAAGGACAATTTTCTTGGAGACATTGGAAACCACAGTCCTGAAATACAGACCACATTCTTGCAGATTTTCAGTCCTTATCCTCAAGTGTGGGTCAATAAAGTTATTTTTAAAGAAAGCTGTTAGTATTTTGAAGCTTGACAAACAACCTCATGTTCTTTAATGGCTTGTCTCTTTGGACTAAAATTTCCAAAGAAAACTCAACCAAGTGTTTAAAGTGTGGTTAAGCTGTAAGCAGTTGAATGTGAGGTCTTAAAAAGGGAAATGTCACGCAACCTTAATGATAGAGTGATGTTACCAATTCTGCCAATAATAAATGTATGTTTATCTGCTTGAATAACAACATGAGCAGTCACAGCAATAGAAAGCTTTACTATAATCAAATCTGAGTCTTTTGCCAAGCTTTTCAGCCACGGAGAGAAACCTCATGCTTGTAAATCCTGCAATTAGACGTGTAGTTACTTCCTTTTAATGTGATCAGTCCTATATACATCTGGCTTTGATTGAAGTAAATGGCTTATATAAGTGGGCAATTTTATTTGAATATGAGACATTTCAGCAAAAGTATCTAGCAAGTCAAGGACTGAGGGCAGGGAATCAGGACAGAAAGTCATTGCTTTCCCCTCTCATTTTTCCTTTCTCTTATTTTTTTATAAGTTAAAGTGCAATGAGAGAGAAAAAAAAAAAGCAACATGGCACTTAGGTGATTTTAATACACGCCTTAAAGCATGTTGGCTACATTAACACACAGGTGTTTCTGAGGACTAGGTAGTTTGCAAGAGTGACAGGAAAAAACTGGGTGTATTACTGCTGTAGCTGTGAACTGACCAGGTCTTAAGTGTACTCTCAGTGTCATTTTTTTTCAAACAAACACACACAAACCAGCATACTGTAATGCAAGCATACCAAATGTGCA